GGATCTCTCAGCTGGGATGTGAAGCTGAGAAACAAAACTTCAAAGATCTAGAGAGAGACGTGGCTGGAAATACAAACAGAACCCCATCACAGGCATATTTCTTTTTAGATTTCTTGGGTTTTTTTCTCTCTTCCATTCCTTTTTTTTTTTTTTTTGCATGTTTGTGTGGAACATGATGTGCCAAAAAAAAAAAAAAAAAAAGTAGGGAATGAAGCAAAGACAGGAACAGGTGAGTATGTCCTTAGGAAAAAAAAGAAAACATGAAACGTACTGTAAGAACAGAAACTTGTTACAGTATTTGAAGTTAGCACAGAAAACTTCAAATGGCATCATTGATTTGCAATCCTTTTTTCTTTTATTTTGAGAGGTAGAAGTTCATAGCTTGCTTTTGCACACCCTGTTCACTCTTTCCAACCACAGGCCCAACACGCATACGAGCACACGCACCTTGCAAGACAAGCTCCATTCCTTTGCTTTTCATTAATGTGTGTTTGTGTTAAAGCTAATCTGTTTACATCCACTAGTAAATATTCAAATTTAGGAGAGTAAAGAGAATGTCAATCCCATTTCAAACCCACCTTCCCTTCTGTGAGAAAATGATCTGCAGAGATATACTAAGACTCTTCTCAGAATAGGGGAAAAAATGATTTCTCCCTGTCCTAACATGTATGAATCCTTGGAATTCTACATTTTTAAAGTCATAAAACGCTCAAATTTTAACAAGTTTTCTAAATGCTATTTCCTGTACCTCAAATAAAAAAAAACGAAAGATATCATAATGATTATTAGGATAGTAGCCTTTTTTTTTTAAATCTCAAATAGGGCACTTGTTGTCATCTCTGGGGAATTTTTAAGAATAGGCCTGTTCTGTTTAGTAAGCAAATATTTGGGTTTTAGTGAATTTGTATGCTGTTTCCTAAAAGTTCAAGTGAATGGTTAAATATAAATAAATTGCTATTTGTCTGTATGCACGTGTGTATGTGGGAAGGGGAAGGAGGGGGATGGGGGCAAGGGAGAGGAAGGAGAGAGACCAGTGCCACGGGAACGTACTTAATTTCAAGCGGCTGCTTGCTTCCAAATGCCTGGTTGACTTTGGAAATCTGAATCAATCAACATTTCAGATGTGAATCCACAAGTTTCACCAAAGCACAATATTCTGAAGCTGCTAAGATGGTGGCACCTGGCATACTTTAACTGGCGTGATTCCTGGCTGATTTGCCTCTACGTTAGGGAACACAGAAGAGAACACTTTCCTCTTGCTGTTAGCTCCAGGCCCTTCTTTCTGACTTATGAAGAAATTTTAAAAGAACTAATATGTACCATTTGAGTAAACAGTGACTACGAGGGGATATGCTAATTATGTGCAGGAGTTTGAAAGGTGCATCCACTGAGGAGGACGAGAAATTATTTAGCCTGGTAGCTGAAAATTGCCAGGAGACGCAAAAGCACATTAAGCAAAGGGAGATTTAAACTAAACATCAGATCCCAGAATAAATATAACACTCAGCGACGTGAGCAGGCTTGTGGAAATAGGTTGAGATGTTTAAAATACCAAAATATTGAAATTTGCATTTCAAGTGAACATTTATGCCAGGGCAGAAAATAATAGATAGGAACAAGAGAAAGACCCACATTGTAGCCAGGGGGCTTTATTCCACCGGAGAATGTCACAACAGGTTAAGTGTCACACTCTGGCCTGAGAGCCTTCTTGAGGTTGAGAGAGTAGAGGGAAATGGGGACAGGACCCTTGGGTTGAGAGCAGCTAGTCAGAGTGAACTGAAAGAATGGAGGGGAAAAGTGCCCTGAGGCGGACAGATATACTGGGGCAAAGGGAGAGGAGCAAGAGACTCTGAGCGCATTTTAGAATTCTGACTCAAGGTGAACAAAAGCAGGTGTCCATGCTTTGAACAAAAAATTGCACTTGACCAGATAAAAGGTATGTCATGGTGGCTGTTTCCACCTGGGGGCTCTATTGGTATCGCCACACCTTTTTTTTTTTTTTAAGATTTTATTTATTTATTTGAGAGAGAGAGCGCCTGAGGGAGAGAGAGCACGAGTGGGGGAGGAGGGGCAGAGGGAGAAGCAGACTCTCTGCCGAGCAGGGAGCCCGATGCGGGACTCGATTCCAGGACCCTGGGATCATGACCTGAGCCGAAGGCAGACGCTTAACCAACTGAGCCACCCAGGTGCCTTTGACACACCTTTTTTTGAACCAACAACTCCACCCAGCAAATCCCTCCTCAGGACACAGCCAGAGATGCCCTGTCCAGCTTTTCAACAGCAGAGGACTCAGCATACCCTTTCTCCCCCAGTGAATCGAAAAGAATACAGTGTTGTTGGCCATCTCTAAGAAGACCGCACTTGTTCTTTCACTGACAGCTCAGTACCCACCCAGGAATGAGGTTGATGGAGTTGGGGGGGGCTGGCAGGGAAGAAATCCTACACCATTCAGAAATCATTTGGAACCCTTCTTTCTTTCTTTTCTTCTTTTTGTTTATTTTTTATTTATTTATTTGACAATGAGAGAGAGCACAAGCAGGGGGAGTGGCAGGCGGAGGGAGAGGAAGAAGCAGGCTCCCCGCAGAGCAGGGGGAGGCCGATTTAAAGATTTTATTTATTTATTTTAGAGATAGAGAGTGCACAAACAGGGGGAGGGGTTGGGGAAGGGGCACAGGTGTGCTCAGCATGGAACCTGATGTTGGGCTCCATCTCACGACCCTGAGATGGTGACCTGAGCAGAAACCAAGAGTCAGACACTTAACTGAGCCTCCTGAGCCATGCAGGTGCCCCAAACTCTTCTTTTATTACAATACACCATTATTCTCAAAATCAGTAATGCTGTCTTACTGTCAATTCCACCGCTGCTCTCCAGATTTTGTTAAAGAATTTATTTATTTATTTTTGTGAGAGAGAGAGAGAAAGAGAGAGCGGGCACATGGGGGGGGTGCAGAGGGAGAAGCAGGTTCCCCGCTGAGCAGGGACCCTGATGCGGGGCTCAACCCCAGGACCCCGGGATCATGACCTGAGCCGAAGGCAGATGCTTAACCATCTGAGCCACCCAGGCGCCCGTTCACTCCAGATTTTTTAATGAGTTTACACCTATTTTGGCCTGGAGTTGTCAACATTGCCGTTTGTCTTCAGGGTATTTGCATTTAGCTACAAGATTTTAGCATCAATTAGTTGACATGACTCTCAGTCCACAGTTGCAAGTATGTAGGAAAGATTGTTTTTTTCCTCCAAGCCCAAATTCTTCCCAGCTCATCCAATACAGCGGACTATTACCCTTCCTAAGATTTCTGTTTTCTTTCCTACCACATTCTACTTCTGCAGCATGTGAAGTCAGGTCTGACTGCTTCCCTGAATGTGGAGAAGGAACAAGGTGAAAACACAGGGAAAAAAATTAATCTTTTATAGATAATATGCAGCTATTTACTTAACACACTAATTCTAAAACATTTTTAGTAGAAACATGTGCTAGATAATGTGCAGGACTCCAGAACCAGATAATTCTATGTAACTACTGCCTTTTGTTGTTGGGATTGTGTAGTCTCCTCCTCAACACTAGTGATAGTGACAATTGACAGAAGACTTGAAGCTTAGAATAGTCCTGACAGTTGTGTTACAGGATGTTATCAAAGAGGCCCTGTGTTCTACTGGGAGCCTAGTTAACAGGCTTGGCTGACATATTTAGACAGTGAATTTGTCTCTGTGCTAGCTGTCTGTTATGTTGATTTGGCCATTGGGGAATTTCCAGAAAAGGAAAACAGCTTGTGGCATTTGAGCAAAGCTATTAATTGGTACCATTTAGTGTAGGATGACCAAGAGCAAGATTTCTTCGCGGGGCAGGATTGTGTCCTCTTGCACCCTCCCCAACTGCTTTATCCTAACCCAACAGCAACGGGGTTTTATAATTTGTTCAATTTAGAGGGTTCAATTTAGCTAGAGTTAAAGTCCATAGGCCTTTTTGACCAAGCTCTTCCCCTGCTCAATCCCCTTCCCTCTTCATCTTCTTTTCCCTCAGTTCCTTTTCCTCCCCTCCCACTTCCTAGTCCTTCTCTCACTACCCCCACCTTCTCCTGGAAGAAAGTCATTTAATCAATTATACTCCACAGGAGGGGAATTAAACAAGCCTGCCTGTCTTGAAATTTCATTACTAAATGGACACATCCAACTTTGCGGAACTTTCCAAAAAGGACCTCCAGAGCCCTAACTCTAACTGATTAAGCCAATGATATTGAGCTCCCTACCACCCACCCCCATGTGACACAGTCTGTCACAAAGCACAGCATCAGCAGCACATCCTCATTTATCTGGTTCCTGGTCTGAAAGCCTCAATGATGAAGCAGTTTACAGCTTGACACTAAGCAAGGAAACCATAACTACATGACAGGGTTTTAAACATGACCTTTGTAAACAGAATTCCACATAATCTGAGGGAGAAGAATGAGTTTCTCAAAAGGAAACCGCTTTTCCTAATAACAACTTCGGTCAGAAGCGTGTTTTGCCACATGGTGTAATTGATGGTAACAGGGCTTCGACAGTAGTCCGTCTGAGCCCTTACAACTCTGTGCCCAATTCCCACTGTGTTCTGAGCCCTCAACCAGTGATCAATGGGTGTAGATGCATAAACACTCTAGCTTCTTGACCCTCAGTCAGGACAACTTTGAGTGGGACATGTGCTTTCCCCAGAGCTCCCTCATGGATTAAACCAAGTTACCTTGTGTGGGATGAGACCTGTACCCTCTCTTGGCTTCTTTCTCTTCCAGGTCCCACTTTCCTACTCACCTACTGGTTTTTCCTGAGAACGCTCCTTCCGTAATCACGTTCACCTGATTTTTGTCTTGGGGTCTGCTTCTGTGGGACCTGACCTCAGACAAATGCATTGTCAAATTATTAAAAAAAACATGTGTATTTACTGCTTCTGAAAAGAAAACATAGGTGTTCTACTGCATATTTTAAACCTAAAAAACAATCATGCAAATTTCTGTTTTTCAGGGAGAGAGTTTGAAGGAGAAGAAGAATATCTGGAGATCCTTGGCATCACCAGGGAGCAGTCAGGCAAATATGAGTGCAAAGCTGCCAATGAAGTCTCCTCAGCGGATGTGAGACAAGTGAAGGTCACTGTGAACTGTGAGTATAGCAAAAGCCAGCAGGCGCTGTGTGCCCAGGGCCCACCTCTACCACGAGCAAGCTCTAAAGATCCCATTAACAAAAGAACATTGCATTTCAAGCAGATGCTCCTCTGGTCAGGGATGCACATTTATACATTGGACACATCTAAGGGCAGGACTTGGCCTTTGAATTAGATAAATCAACTCTACCAACTCTAAATATAACCCATAATGCATTTAACAATACAGTCTGTCTTTTACTCAGACTACAGAATTAAGAAAACATGATCAGACAGCCCTAGCATTTCTGGCAATCACTATTTTGGTCTTTGTGGAGAATAAGTTCACACCACTTTGGAAAAAGAAACAATTCATATCTGCTTCAACTGGAATTTCTCTTATTGCATTGTTTATCAGAAGGCAATAACCCTTCCTCTGCTATTTAACTGATTGGCCTTGAGAACAAATTCAAGTCACTGTGGTCAGGTTATCATGTGTCCCCGATGGCTACCAGGGATACTTGATAAATTAGTTTGGCTATTTGTCCCAAAGTATGGGCATTAGAAACAAAGATTTCACTAAGATGCATAGGTAATGGTCATACTTTGAACTTCGCAGATGAAAAGATCCTTAGATGTAGTTCAAAAGACAGGGAGCAGGGGTGGATCCATATGATGTATGTCACCCAGCAAAGGAATAAAGAGAATTCGTTTACCCTGTTCAGTTAGGAGTGACCTTTCACATCATTCAAATTCAAGTTCCCACATCAAACAATTGTGGCTAGTGACAGGGACAAAGGGACATCCTGACAGTTCTCCCTTCCTATGCATTTAGAGCACACACACATACAAATACATCCCCTACACACCCATATATACATATGCATATATAACACACATACATGCATGTACATAGGCACACAGAGACAGATGCACAAACATGTTAACCCATATTTGAAAATATACTCTAGACCATTGTAAATTACTTTTCATTATCTTAAGCCTTCCATGAAGTTACCTATGTACCAGCAATTCTATATAAATTCTATATAAATTCCTTGTCATGGTAGATAGAACTGACTCCATTTTAGGGTTTGAGACTCTGAAGCCCAAGGAAGTAAAGTTGCTTTTCCAATGCAGAAGCAAGTGTAAGAAAAGGGATTCAGACTCTGGCCCATTTGACTCTAAAGCCCATGTTCTCAGGATGAAGAAGAAGAGAAGGCATTTTTCAATCCTTAGTAGCCACCATGGGCAGTACTGGACTAATGGAATTACATTTAATTCTCACAGTAAACTCATGAGATAAACATCATTAGTTATACTTTAAAAATCTGGAAACTGAGGCACAGAGAGCTGAGGAGACTTGTCTGAGGTGACCTGGTCTACGCCGGGCTGCACTATTTCCCCTTACCCCGCTTTAGCCTTGCAGCTTTCCTGGACAGTGAAACCCCCTTCACGCCAATATCTAGAAGAATCCAATACATAGGACTCTGCCATAGACACTTATGGCAATCATTTCCAAGAAGCGAGGGGTACATTTGATGAGCTCTGAAGTGCTTTTGTCCTGGAGCTGTCTGCGACTTTTTTTTTTTTTTTTGTAATAGAGTTTTGAAATGCCAGTATTACTATTCTTTTTCAGTGCTGGGTGTGTTTCAAAGACACATTAATGATCTTAATGTTATAAAATGCTTTAGGACCTTTTTTTCACATGAAAGGCAATTTCTCTGGGTGTTTATATAAGTTTATAATTAGGTTAGTTAGGTTCTTTTATGTACACACAGCCATGCCATCATCTTCCACCTCTTCTCTGACTTTTAGAGTTAAGATTTCATTTTCTCTTAATTGACCTTCATCTTAATTAGATTTCTGAAAGTCCAATCATGGAGTACATAGAAAATATTTATGCTTCCATTGTGTGAAACATCAAAGTGGCCCGCATTGCAGATGGTTCCCAAGATCAAAGCCAGCCGCCTGGGCCCTATTATTATTAGCTCAATTAGTCTGACATTGCTCCTTCTTGACTGTCCCCATAGTGTAACTTAGAGCAGAAGAAAATACTGATAATTTTTAAGAAAAGGCTTTTAAGAAGATGTGAGCTTTTCCTAGTGATGAGTGAACCATGGAAGAATATAGACAGAACCTCAAGATTCTGAAAAGATATCTAATAACAAATTACATGGAGTTTTATAATGAGCTTAGTTAAACATACAGAATGTATGTCCTAACCAGCAGCACCTAGCACATATCTGACCTTATAAAAATTGCTCAGTGAATGTTGACTGAATGAGTAGGTAAAAACTCACAGGTAAAGTCTGCCCTCTTAACATTTCTTCAAACTCAGTCACAAATCAGGAAATATATTCTGATATCAATTTCTTTTGTAATCACCTTTTTCACCAACACTGCATAAGCTGTGTTTATATTACATCAAAACAACTAGCCATTGTACCTGTTGTACTGTTCATACGATATGTCCTATTTACGTGTAGTTGTATTAAGTAGATGAAGTCTCCAGGATTGAATTACAGAACCAGGTCTGGCTTGCAAAACTTGGTCCTACAGAGAAATATCCAGTATTACCTGCATCACTTCATCTAAGCCTTTGTACTGTGAAAGTGTCCCATTATTTAAACTGATTCCTCTTCCTTTTCAAAACACAGGGTTTGGAATTAGTTCAGGGGATCAGGATGGCTAAGATAAATAATGACTAAATAGCTTATTGTAATGAAACAGACCCTGAGTACCACTGGAAAAAAAAAATCCCAATGCTGGTAATTTGCTCCTACAAGCATTTCATTGATTCATTTACTCAGTTGCCAACAGATATTTGTTGCAGGACACTGAGAAGCTAGAGTAGTAAATAAAAGATGTAGACACAACAGTTTCTCCTGTTTACGTCATAAACTGGATTCTACGGTCTCTCCTTTTTACTTCTCTTGGATAATCCTTCTCCACAGTTGGTTTATAGCATTGCATATAGACATTTGACAAGCAAAATCTATTTTCTAAGTAGTGAGAGGAGTTTACAGAAGCTAAATTACTGACCTGAAATCTCTTCAACTAAATAAGCTTATTACTAGTACAATAGACAGGACTTCTGGTTTCTTGTATCTTACTTACAGTACAGCTGCTCATTTCTTCCAGATACCATCCCTAGGGACAACTGTCCTTTCCTTACAGATTCCCTCAATTTCGGTTCTCACAGTGTATTAAAAGTAGCTACTTGGGTTTACCTCATCCTAGTGCCCCGTATCCTGAGGATAATATCTAGTGCATAGTCAACATTCAATAAATGCAGACCGTTAAGTTTATCTGGATTCTCGTTAAACTGAACTCTTTTCCTATTTCTGTAGAAATACTTCTCCAAAGCTGCCCCGAACTCTCAAGGCTTCCCTCCATCCCATTAACCAGCTAATATTCCTCCACCTTCCCACAACGATGTCTCCAACTAGGTTCACACTACCAAGCTATAACTTCTTTCTCCTCCATTCGTCTCCCTTTGAACTCAGCTCTGCCTCCACGTTGATGTCCAGAACTAACTCAACACAGATGGGGGGGACATGGACGCTGGCATTTCTAAGGCTCATGCTTACATTTGATAGCCATTTACTAGAGGAGGTAGAGGTTACTTACCATAGATTCTACAACTGGGACTGGAGACATCCACTGTCTCCAGATAATATATATGCATTTTAACTGAACTCTTCAGTGCTTTGATTCAAAAATCACCTAATGATGAGACTTCAAGAAAATGACTGCTCATAATGGAACCAGAGTGGCTACTTTCTCTGGATATTCATAGCTACAGCTACGCATTCTCCATGCCAACCTTTAGTTTATTCTTATATTTGGCATGGTTTCAGTAAAGACATGTCCTAATGCTTATGACTCTATTATGGGACCTTCAGAGGAGATATTCAGTATGAATCCAGAGTATTGCGATCTTCTACCATAACTTTGCAGTGTGAACAAGAACCATAATTTCCTGAATTCCTAGAGTACCAAGACTCCGCTAGAGGTTTTGTATGATTCACTGTAGTCATCACATTGACAGTGGCTAACCAAGGAGGGAGGTGTATTGGGCCTGAACTGCCCGAGCAAGGAGATATTTACTTTATCACTGACATTATTTAGTATGTTAAGTTTAGTATTTCTGGGACATAGTGTTTAAAAAAAAAGATTAAGTTAGTTCTATTATCTTTAAATTCTCTAAAGATAGTACCTTTCTTATTGCCTCTATTCTCTGCCCCTCCTCCGCTGGTCCACCATTGCACACTAACCCTGAAAGATAATCAAATCATCCGTCTACAGAGAGGACAAAAACAGAGCTTAGAGAATATAAGCATTGTTGGCCATAAAATCAAAGAACTTGTGAGTGGTAGGTAGAGTTGGGATTCTAACCGAGTTCTAACTCCACAGCCCTCTTTCCTTCCAAACCACCACGTGAATAATAGTAATACAAATAGTAAATGTAAAATAACAATAATAATAATAATAATAAAAGTAATCACCTCCGGTGTTAAATGTGCTCTTATATACATGATTTCATTTGATCTTTACATCAAACCTGTGAGACAGATCACAGGGGTCATCATCTCCATTTATAGGTGGGGGGGCCCCAGGAAGTCAACACGTCACCCATAGGAGATGATAATCTAAGTGGCGCAGGCAGAAATTGAACTCACAACTCCTGATTTCTAATGCAGGTTTATACCCCCTAGGTCACTGCATGCTGTGCCATTTTGGTACCCTTTAATAGCAGAAATAGAACATTTACCTTTTAAGCTACCAACATGTTCCCCTAAATGGTATTTTTCCCTATTAGGAATTCATTTCTCTTTAAAGGAACTCATTCAGATGGAAGCCCAGAGAAGTTCAGAGCATGGGCTTCAAAACATGGGTTCAGAGCTAGACTCCATCAAATGTTGGCTATATGAATTTGGACAAGTTATTAACCCTCTGTAGATCTGTCTTCTCTTTCATAAGCTAGGGTTAATAAGTCTTATCTCTGATAGCTATTATTTGGGTGAAAAGAATACCTAAAGCCTAGTAGAGTGCTGACACATGGTAAATGCCCACAAATTGAGACCTTTATTAAGAATTTTGTTCTTTTTATATTATTATTCAAAAAAATTAGGATGATTAAGTGAATGATACTTTGTTTGCTAGACCACTGTCACTGTTATCCTATTCATTCTACTTGAAAAATTCTTGTTATTGGTGATATAAGATGAAGAAAGTCCTTATTAATATTTTCAGAACCCAGAGTTTTGAAGTAATAAAGACTGGAAGAGTCCTTTGAAAATTTAGGCTATTCCAAAGTCACATAAAGAATAACAATGAACTCTGTGCAGCATTATTATTAAGCCACATTTTTATTATAACAATATTTTGAGCATGGACATCTATTATTTTAACTCTACTAGGCATGCTGCAATGTGATTTGTAATAATTTTTCTTAGCCTCACCTATACAGAATTCGTTACAAATGAATTTTGAAATGTTCATTCCAATAAGCCATGAGTGAACAGACTTGCACCATCGTGTCATCTGAGAAATATTAGGAACAATGACTTCTTTGTACATTTATCATTATCTGTGAATTTACCTTGGTAGGAGAAACTTCCTAGATTTTCAAGGAGAGAAGCAAGTGTTTGGTCTTTGTAACTGACCAGTGTCATCCTATCCCAAAATTAATGCACCTAAAAGTATTCAACCTTAATTTGCTGTCACCTTTCCCATACTGGCATCTCTGAGGAGCTAATAAATAACTTACTACATAGTTATTCAGGTTCTAAACAAATGGAGAAATAGGTAAAGGAGATATATGAGAGGCCCAACTGCCCCCATTATTAGAGATTAAGATGGATAGAGGTAGTACTTAGTGTGGGGGACTTATCTCTCCAAACATGGCAGCCCTGGAATGGGGCAGGCCTACTCACCTAAGAGCAGGAAGGAGAGAGCCTGAGTAAGACTTTAGTGTGAAGAAACAGAGGCAAACCCTCATTCCCTGCCAGAAGGTTGGTCCCAAAAAAGGAAGCAAGGAAAAAGATGAGCCAAAGAAACCTCATTTATTCTTTCCAGACTTTTCAGTCAAAATTATTCCTTCCTTGTGGGTCTCAGAGCAAGGACGTGTACTAAATAAGCTCCCACCGCATAGAAGGAAACATCCAGAGTAAGGAAGAACTCTCCCACAAAACTGTACAGCTGGGACCTGCATTCCTGGTCCCATGGTGGAGGGGCTGGAAGCCATGTACCATGGTATTATTATGTTGAGGTGCCGCAGCCCTGAGTGTGAGAGGTGGAGGTGATAGAAAGTGTGGAATTGGATCAGGTTAGGGCTGGCTCAGCAATAAGGTAGTCATCATTAAGGGTTTGTCACCCATAACCATGTGGCTCCAGAAATTCACAAACACTGGTTAAAACTCATTTTACAAACTGAGAAATTAAAGAAGTCAATAGAATCACAAGCAAGATTCTCTCTCTGGCCAGCATGCTACAAATTGTGGAGTCACTGACAGCTTCAGAACCTACTACAGTGAATAGGTGAGGATGGGAAACTAGTATTTGTTCATGGTCATCTATTTCTCTTCTTACGTATCTTTTTGCAGAGGATGGCGTCACTTAGATGCCCAACCCAGAAACTTGAGTGTTACCTCTGACACTCTTCCTCTTTTCCCTCATCCTTTACATCTATTCTTGTCAATTCTGAGCCTTCATATCTCTCAATTTCAATTCTGTCCCTTCCCTTCCATTTTCTTTATCACAAACCTAGTGCAGGCTAGCGGGTTCCTTCAGTACTCTCAAAGTGGACCTCCCTGCCTCTGGTTCCAGCTTTTTATAAATGAGGAGGGTGAGGCAATATGACTCTAGACAAAGCACTATCTTCTGTAATGAGGAAGGACAGTGAAGTATAGAGTCTGTATTTGAGCTCATGTCTAACAAACTTTAAATCCAAACTCTTAACCTCTGTTCAGTGCCCCATCTCTATACAAATACCTCCCCCACCAACACCACTACCACCAATTATCCCATTATCCTTTGAACTAATGTGCTCTAATGATCCACATAGCAAATCACCAAATGAAAGAATTTTATGTGGAACCTTGGTGATCATTTTAGGTTAACTCCTTTTTTTTTTTAAGATTTTATGTATGTATTTAATTGACAGAGAGACAGCAAGAGAGGGAACATAAGCAGGGGGAGTGGGAGAGGGAGAAACAGGCTTCCCGCGGAGCAGGGAGCCTGATGTGGGGCTTGATCCCAGGACCCTGGGATCATGACCTGAGCCGAAGGCAGACGCTTAATGACTGAGCCACCCAAGCGCCCCAACTCCTTCTTTTAAAAGAAGAGAAAGAAAAAGCTCAAACTGGTGCAGACACTTGGGCAGGCCATAGTTCTGGTTAAGAGAAGAGTCAAAATCTGACCGTAGGTTTCCTGTTTCTGATTGTTAATCCTGACTCCTAACTCATAGAACAGATAAATAAGCTGTAATTTTGAAAGTTAGTAATTTAAGGGTTAAATGAGTTATGGGTATGAACATACACTTGGGTCATAATGATACCATCTGCCCATTTGTGAAAGATAGGCAGTTTTGACTAGAATTTTTTTTTTTAAGCTGGTAGGGTTACTAGAGGTCATTAAAGTGTGGTTCCCTCACTTTATAGGTAATAAAACCAAGGCTCAGTAAGATAAATTGTGTGATGGGAGGTCCACACAACCAAAATGAAATTAAATTCCAGGACTCCTAGTTTCCAATCCAGGGTTCTTTCCACTCACCTGGCTGCTTTTTTGTGTCTATACAAAAATGAGTAGATAAGTCTAAAATAAAACACCCACCTCCACCACCCGCTTTGGCACATCTGTCTACACAAGGGCTGGTGATGCTTATCCAAATGTGCTTTAACTCCTCCTCTCTCTGTCAGTGATTTCAAGATGTCCATGCTGATGTGAAAATGAAATGGGGGAGAAAACTGCAGACTAACCTCATGGTTTTGTGCATCCTTTTAAACTAAGAAGGTCAGAGTCTTCTATAGGCAGGAAACTTGGAAAATAGTTTTGAATATGAAGACAAAAAGCAAAAATGAGTGAGCCGAACCAAGTGCTGAAGAGCAGAGATTTAAATAAATTTTGTGTACTAGAGTTTACTTTGCTAATTTCCCTAAATAAACTTCCTCCTCTACAAAATCTAAACAGATTGTTTGGGTCTATTTTTGACTTGTGCACAGAGCCAACCTACCATTTTCTGGCAAATGACCTTTGGGCAGAAAAGTCCTTTTCCCCTTGAAGGTCCATAACCTGTACAAATACAGCATCGTCAAGCCAGGAGCTTGAGTCTACCATCCCAGCTTAGTCATGTGGGCCTGTAAACGCTTGTTCCACCCTCTGTAGGATTGCTTGAAAGAATCATAGCAAATTAGAACATTAGATGTGTTTCTGAGCTCATTTCAAACCCACTACAGTTTTGCAAGCCCAATTCTAAGCAGAACATATCAAGTGTCCAACTGCCAGTGAGCGCAGAAAACTGACACACCAGGCAGGCTTCTCTGCGGCAGAGTACACTTCAATTGTACACTCACACACAAAAGCACAATTTACTTGGGTCATAGCAACAAGGAAACACTTAGAAAAAAAGGTAAATATCTAACACTAGTTTGTTTGTTTGTTTGTTTTTCTGAATTCCCGCAACGATATCAGGCTGAGCTTATGTTGGGAGAACTTTAACCCTCTATCACTTCCACCAGACTTCTTACTACCATCTCAAACTATAACAACAGAGATGATAATGATGATGATGAAAAAGAAAAATGTTCAAATTAGACATTTAAAATCCCAAGTCCTTTGGTATCACCATTTAATTTATAAAAAGAAAAAACTATGTAAATATTATAATCTATGGTTGAAATAACTGATGGTCTATTGGAGAAGGGAAAAAGAAATCCTAGATTCCATTGCCATAAAACCCTGTTAATTGTCCCATTTAAGTAAAGCAAGTCTACAGTTTCATTAATCATCTCTTATTTTTATTTCATTTTCTAGTGATCAGTGCCATTCAGCTGATCACAAAATTCATGTAAATGAGGCTTGAAGACTATTTCTTTCGTGCAGCTCTCCGATCAGATGGTCTTTTCTGAGTCCTTCTTGCATGGAAATTCTGCAGCACCCTCTGACCCTCATGTCAATGGTGTGCCTGTCTTTCCTACAGATCCTCCCACTATCACAGAATCTAAGAGCAATGAAGCCACCACAGGGCGGAAAGCTTCACTCAAATGTGAGGCCTCGGCAGTGCCTGCGCCTGACTTTGAGTGGTACCGGGATGACACCAGGTATGTGCCAAATGTGCCAGGCCCCCTTTGCTCCACTATGTGGTCCTGAGGACAGAACCAAGCTCCACTGTCATGATGTGGGTTTACGCTATTAAACTCTTCATTTTCTAAATCTCTTTACCGAGTGCTTTGGGGCCTGTAGCTCTTACCCCAAAGCCCAATGAAACTCATCCATTCCTGAGTCTTCTCTATCAGTGGACATTGATTCTGATGATATGGGGTTGCATGATTAAAACAAGGAATTGAGCAGGACCCACAAGCTCTAACTACTACATTTCTTTCCATGTCCTCCAATATCATGATGAAAAAGGGATCACTGCACCAAGTCTTAATCATTGTTTTTTTTTTTTTTCACTCTTCTGTTTTTGAACTCTTAGGATAAACAGTGCTAATGGCCTTGAGATTAAGAGCACGGAGGGCCAATCCTCCCTGACAGTGACCAACGTCACTGAAGAGCACTATGGCAACTATACCTGCGTGGCTGCCAACAATCTGGGGGTCACCAATGCCAGCCTAGTCCTTTTCAGTAAGTATGCCAAAGCAGGGCCTGATGTGGGAGAACTAAGTCAACTAGTTCTCCAGTGGGAAACCTGAAAATCACCCCCTTACCTTATCATTTACCTTACCTATTAAAGGTAAACTTATACAAAAATAAGAATGTAGTCACTGAAACAGAAACACAGGCCCTCCATCCTTATGCATAAGGCAGGATTTACAAATGAAATAACTTCTCTCTCGATTTCCTGGTTTACTTATGATAACTACCTTGTTGTCACTTTTTGTTGTTGCTAGGTTGTTTTTTTCTTTTTTTTTGTTTTTTGTTTTTTTGTTTTGTTTTGTTTTGTTTCCTGGTTGATTTAACTGTAAGAATATTCAAAGAATAGAAATCTCAAGGAACAGAGGTGATGTAAGATCCTGGAAAATGAATGGCAATATAAAAATGGCCCTAGTGAGAGTGATTGAGGAAGAAAAATTCCATGAGGATGGATAAGATGCTGGGAGAAGGGAGAGGCTGGGAAAAGAAAGTGTATTTTTAACAACACAAGAGCAATGGTGGAGTGAATGATTAAAACATGATCTAAAATCTAAAGGAAAAATGGTTGCAGAAGGGTTTCCATATGACAGCAGGAAACATTACTTATCTGACATATTTTTGGAAGTGATAAAATGGTAGGAGAGAGGAGCATTTCCAAAGACCAGAGAAGATCCTAAGGCAGACTGAGGAGGACTCAGGTGTTTTAGCTTCCTGGTGTTAGTAGTGAGAGCCCACTTCAGAGCCTGGCTCTGTAGCAGCCATTAAGGTCAGCTATCTGACCCCCTGCCTTGCTGGCCCTGAGGCTATGAGCACAGATACAAATGCCCCCTGAGAAACAGAAGTATGACGGGTGAAATTAGGAGAAAATGGTACATTTAGAATAGGAAAACAAGTTTAGCGTTTCATCAATCATCTCTTACTTTTATGCAGTTTTCTAGTGATCAGTCCTGTTCAACTGATCATAAAACTCAGAATAAGAAAATGGAATTTAGAATAGGAAAATGTTTGGAATGGGAAAATGTTTATCAGAATAAGTCAAACAAACAAAAGAGTAGGCACATGCTGGGCCAGAAAGTTCATTTGGAATAAAAGAGAAAGTCCAAAACCTTTACTATTTATTATTTTGGAATAACAAGCTACTAGGAATTTTTTTCTGCACATGTTCAGTTGGAAAAGCTAGAAACACTATGACCAGGAGAGATGTCTCCATCTTGCTTTACCCAATTTAGATGAGCCTACAAGAAAAAAATATATATTTTTAGGAGAAAAATCAATCTCAGTGAGAGTTCTCTTGAGATGAAGTATTAAAGCCATTTTATAACTGTTCAAGATCCAACTCTGCTTATAAAAAAACAACAACCACAAACTATTCTAAATTTGGGCTTCAGTTTCTCCCCCATAACTCCCATTGACTTCAACCTACAACAGTTTGATGGGATACAGTCATACAAATGCTTGAAGTTTAAAATTCACATGAATTTTAATATGAAGTTTAAAATTCATATCCCTGTTTACTTGTCTCCAAAGACCAAACATCAGTGTTCTTTACTTCAGCTAGAGACACCAATATCTCGACACTTGAGAAGGTATTTATTAAGAAATGTAGTTACTTGTTTCATTCTTGACATCAGGGATTCCATAAATGGGGGCCAACAGCCTCAACTCTAAATTTGAGATTCTGACATATCTAAGGTAACCTGCTTAAGTAGAACAACATGCACTTAATAAGAGGTTCTATAGGGACAATAAGAGGTTTTATAGAGAAAGTGGGACAGTTGGGTTAGAAAAAGTGAGCAACTATAATTTGCATTAAAGTATCTTTTCCTTTTTTTAATTTTTTTATTAACATATAATGTATTATTTGTTTCAGGGGTACAGGTCTGTGATTCATCAGTCTTACACAATTCACAGCGCTCACCATAGCACATACCCTCCCCAGTGTCCATCACCCAGCCACCCCATCCCTCCCACCCCCCACCACTCCAGCAACCCTCAGTTTGTTTCCTGAGATTAAGAGTCTCTTATGGTTTGTCTCCCTCTCTGGTTTCATCTTGTTTCATTTTTCCCTCCCTTCCCCTATGATCCTCTGTCTTGTTTCTCAAATTCTGCATATCAGTGAGATCATATGAAAAGTATCTTTTCCACTTTTCCCACCCAGAAGAAGTGTGCTAATATACTTCAAATAATAACTAAAATAACACCTATAGACTGAGAGAGGAAGGTGAAGGAGGAGGGAAGGGTGGAATACTTGAGGAGGAGAAAGCAAGGGTGGGCTAGGTCAGAGATAATGGAGATCCCGTGAGTGTGCTGGTGGTGAGGAAGGGTGATCTCAAGCCCTGTAAATACCATCGCCCTATTCATAAAAGTCCATTTAAAGGACCCACCCAGTAAAAGTAAGAAGTGCCAAGAATCTCACAGAATTTCTGTTTGTAAGCGGAGAATCACAAACTTGGACAAGTGTATCATCATCATATTGTGACTTCACTGAGGTCACCTGCAATTTTACCCTTGAGAAGTGCACAGCGCCATGATTAATGGTGTGCTATTTCCCCCGTGGGCCCACACTGCCCTCTGCAGAACAGCCTTCCCAGGCACCAGCTCTGCATTTGGCAGCATGTGCATCAGCATTGGGTTTGTAACTGGTTTCCCACCTTATGAGGGGATGATGAAAATTAGAGGAAGCATGATGAAAATTAGGGGAACTACTGCCCTCTTTAGACCTTAGACCCAAGACCCAAGTATGCACACTTTAAGGGGGAAGCTGTGCTTCTTACCTAACAGGAAGGCCGCTTCCACCACGCCCACCCCATGGTGACCATTTAGGGTTAGGAGGTCCCTTGTTACAGCCATGATAGCTGAATCCTTGGGAATACAGCTCTGTGAAACCCTATTTCACACAGGCAAAAGAGAAAGAGGGAGGGAGAAGGTGGGGAAAGAGAAAGGGAAGAGAAGGGGGAAAAAAGGAAGTGCCTATGTGAACAGATTGCCCATTACTTGGACTCAAAGTAGATGGGTTGAATGGGAAGAAGGAAGACACTGCAGGTAGCGGTACTTTTCCACAGAACAGGGTCAGCAGGGGAGAGATGCTTGGGAGGGGTGGCTACAGCAGCCCTGACAGAGAGCACTGTGCAGGCAGCGGGGTGCTGTGCTGACCCAGCTGGTCCAGAGCAGATGAGGCAGCTGGTGAGCTGCTGCAAGCCAGAAAGAGGAAGCAAGGAGAACTGGAGAGCCAGAGCCCCTGAAGAGTTCACGATTATCCATCTTCACTGGGGTGTCAGCACATTTTCAGCATCCACCTCAGTGACATGTGCTGACTTTTTACACAGTGCCAGTTTGTGGTCACTGATTCATCTTGTCTTCCACCACATACATACATATACTTCTCCTGTCTCTATTCAAATACTGATCTTCAAAGGGGTCAAAGTAATTGAATGAAAGTGCAAGAATGCCATGTATTGATAGTAATTTTTCCTAGGCCAATGGAAGCACTCCTTTCTCATTTGTCTCCTTCTCCACACATTCCAGCATTGTTTGTCAAGAATCTGTACTACCTCAGGCTATATTATATCCAAGTTTATATATTTTTCTCCATCCTGGGGAAAGCATTACATTGTGCAATTTTTCTGAATGCATTAATCCAGTGGTACAGCGTGTACAGGCAAAGATTCAGCTCCTTAGTCTTTGTCAGCTGTGGAGATATGCACCACATGGAGGAAGATTTCTGTTGATGCCAAGAGAAGGTCCATCCTCAGCATATGGAACATCACAGATTCTGTGTTCCCACACTGATGACTATAATGCACCCACAACGGAAACCTATCTTGTTTCCATGCTTATGTTGAGTTACTTTTAAAACAATGGATAGGAGGAAGAATAATAGGGTGATGATTTTAAGGTGGTCACTTCTGATCAAGTGAACTCTTACAAGGTACTCTGCACATGCACTGAACACTTAACATACATGATCTCATTTCATTGTCAAGACAACCCTAGTAGGGACTCCTACTTCTCCATTAGATAAAGAGGTTAAGTAACTAGAGCAACCAAATAAAGCTGCTGGGATTTAAATTTGGGTAATCTGTTTCCAGAATCTAGGCTATAGATCAATGTTACCTAGGTTTGTATATGTGGAGAAATGTTAGGAAATGTATCGTTTGTAGTTTGGAAGTGAAGAGACATATAATTTCTTTCTCATTTTTTCACTTAGTGAGGTCTGTCCATGACTAAATATTGCTATATCCCTTCCCACCTGAGACACTGTGTCTGCCACCCCCCCCATTTCCATTTCCATTAACCCCCACCAACATGGGTCCACTGGATTAGTTAGATGGTTGATTTATCTTTGGCACGTGGAGATTCCTAACTAATATTCCAGCCTAGTGATCAGTGCTTGACCTCAGGAGGCGAATATTCCCACATGTTAAAGGAAACTCCTACTAATCAATTACCTTCTACTTTAGAGAAATGTGTGGGTTGGTAAGGCATTTTGAAGCTATTAAGTACAAAAAAATAAAAATGCAAAGAAGTCTACACTCAGCCATACCACCTCAGTGTTTAGGAGGTTTTCAAATTTCCTTTTTAATTTTAAAAGATCATTAACTTGTAAACCTATACTTGATTAAATTTCATGTATTACCTAAGCAACCCAGCAACTGGAGAGAGCCCTTAAAATGAGGGCCTCCCCCACTTGTTTAGAAACCATTTTAAGTTATTACCTTGGCAGCTCAGGGTTTAAATATATACCACTTGACGATACTAGTTAAGACTTGGCAAAGCCTCTTAACCAGTTACTTCTGGTTGCCACAGAATAAAACAGTGTCAGCAGCTATTGGAACACTATCCACATGTAGTTTGAAAGACTGGCTGCAAACTTTTTACAAGGGCTCTCTGTGGCTACAATAAGAAATAGATGGGCATTGGGACTCGATTTAGTTTCAAGAAAAGGTGTGAAATATGCTGACTTCCAGAAAGTTTAAAGAACATGGGCATAC